AAGTGATTCTAGTATACGCTTTTTATTCCTCCGGAAAAGCGTATAAAATAGCAAATTCTACCCAATATTTGAAAAATATTTTGTTTTAGATAAATAAATGAAAAATAAACCGAAAATATTTATATCACAAATATCCATTGTATTTATGAGTATTTTAATTAAACATTACAGCTAGAATAAAAAATAAATTTCAAAAGTTGTCCCATTGTACATTTCTATGGGTTTATAGCAATAATATTATATTTAAAAATAAAATATTACAGACCACTATTGGACCCTACTTTAAACCTTTAATTAAGTTGACATTTACCATAAGTATCATAATATTAATTATTATTGACAATCATAAATTATGGCTCTTAACAATTAATTACAAACCCAATGATTTGCTTCTAATCTAGATTATTTTTCATTTATTTATCTAAAACAAATTATTTTTCAAATATCGGGTAGAATTTGGTATTTTTTAACTTAATATTTAATAATAATAATTATACTTTTTTTTAGATATTTTTTAAAAGTTTTTAAATCTAAAAATTATTAATTATTTGACTAATAATAGACATATCTATCCCTAATGTTATCAATGATTATGATTTTAATTGGGTCCATAAGTATCTGAATATAGCTGGGCAAATTTATATCAGTATGTATGTTTATATTGGTAAATTTATATTTATGTATATTTGTTTATATAAATCTTGTTATATACATGCTATTCTATTATATTAGTTTTATATAGTATTGTGTATAAAGTATTTTAATTAAGGTCTAAGCATATTGACATATCTTTAAAATATTGTTAAACATTTAAATATTTAACAAAATACTTTTCAAAAACTTAGTGTTTATTGTAATGATATATTGTAAAGCCCGCACCAGTTGTTTGGTATGTCAGCCCTCATAGTATCGGTGGTAAACTCGTAATTAATTGGTTTCACTTGTGCGGCAAATTATAGACTAAAATTTACAAATATTTAAACTTTTTGTACCCATTTTTACAGTATTTTATTTATAAATATTACAATATTTAATTTTATTTTAAAAATTACAGTTTTAAAATACGCATTAAATGTTATTAAAATTAATAACTATATAGATTAGCTAATTTTTAAAAACAATTTTTTTATTAAGCAATATTTTAAAAATACTATAGCTTACAATATCAAAAGTCAATTTAGAAAAACAAATAAAAAAGTAATTATTGATTAATTGCAAATAAAAATCAATATATCGATATTTGTGTTATGCAAACTCACCATAATCAATATACTTTAATCATTAGAGCCATCATTAAGCTTATTTTCAAAATAATAGTCTTGTTATTCATAAAACCAAAGTACTGTGAATGTGTTCCAGCTGAAAATAAAGTAAAAGCTTTTTATATGCCATATTTGATTTATAGCTAAAAGTACAAAATAAATATCTTTTAGAAATGTCCAAGTGAGTATATTATTGATAATTTTGTTAAAAGTACTTTTAATCGCATATAAATAATGAGAAAATTAAATGAATTTGTCTGTTTTTAAAGGAGTTCACGGATGCCAAGAGGGCGAGGAGAAATAAAATTGTCCCAGTATGTACTAGTCACTTTTTCTAAAATTTGAAATCTTAACCATTAAATATCTACCCAATAAATATAAAACCTAAAATAACATAAAATATTATAAAACTAAAATTAGTTAAAATACAAATAGCTATTTTTAAAATAAGTATACAGTATTAAATAATATTTACAGTTAATATAGTTAGTATATTTTATATTTAAATAAAAGCTTACTCTAATATTTACTTAAAAATATAAAATGTCATGAAAACTGTAGCAATGTAACTAGTTAAAGTCTAATTCATAGTATTAAACCAATGTTTATTATGATGGTAAGAGGTCAATCAACCTATTATAATATTAATATAGATATATTGATATTAAAAATATACATTTGTTAATTATTTGAATTTTATCTGGAACATTTATTACAATGGGGTATCTGGGATGTTAACATAGCTATATTAATTTATATGACCCAGTATTACGAGTACCGGTAGCCAGAGGAAATACTATTTTTAAGTTCAGATTTAGTTTTGTATTTGTAAAATAATAAGTACTAGGTACACTAACGCTCACATCACGATCAAGATATTAAACATGTCAATTAATAATAAGTATCATAATATTTGTAGACACATGCATCAGGTAAGTTTATTTCTATAGGGCTTGTGGGTTAAAATAGCTTGTTATAAAACAAATGTAATTATGATTTGTAATAATACTTTTATTAATTAGTTATGTAATTGTATTGTATAGTCGGATACGGAAAGCCTGGCTTTATATTTATTTTGAAATTTATTATTAAAAACTACAGATTATGATTAATTATTATATTATAACGTATACTGAAAATAAGACAATCTTATTATCATTAATTATAAGAAAGCATGTCAAAAAAACATTATAAATATATTATAAGTAGTATTGCACATATTCTTTAAAAAGTCATTTATTAAAAATTCAATGGCACTATAGCTTACAATACCAAAAGTCAATTTTGAAAAACAAATAAAAAAGTAATTATTCATTAATTGCAAATAAAAATCAATATATCGATATTAGTGTTATGAAAACTCACTGTAAAAAATATATTCCAATCAATAATTAGCCTATTTTTACATAATTGTCTTGTTATTCATAAAACCAAAATCATTTGAATGTGCATTTGTTAAGATTGAAGTAAACTATATTTTATATGCCATCATTGATTGATAGCTAAAGGAACAAAATTAATATCTAATAGAAATGTACAAGTGAGTATAATATTATTATTCATAATTTGGTTTAAATTACTTTTTATCGCATATAAGTAATGAATAAACTGAATCATTTTGTCTGTTTTAAAGGGGGACACGGAGGTCAAGGGCACAAAGAGACCTAACACTGTATGTACTAGTCACTTTTCTAAAATCTAAAATTTCATACATAAAATATCTACACAATAAATATACCGTTAAATTCATTATAAATGGCACATATGTGTCAAAAGCCTAGTAAATAAGTATCTCTAGTAATCATTTAATAGTGTGTTGATAAATAAAATCAAATTTTACAAACTAAATATAAAAATGTGTTTAGCTATTGATAACGTGTATAACTATTAGATTACTACTACTGTATATTAAATTAATACTTTTATACTAAAGGGTATTTATTTTCAAACCAAGGATTTCATATTGAAAATTAAGATATTAAACATTTGAATATTATGATGAACAGTACACCAAAATATTCATTAATAATGAACATTTTATGTCTATATCACCAAATTTTCAATTTGCAAAACATTTGTATCTAGGTCATAATCCTAATATAAAGTCAAAAACGCGTGTTTTAAGAACTCATAATATTAGTGCTTTCCGTACAGTGCTATAGACTAATACAGTGCGATATGCATTGAAGTGAATGTCAAAAAATTGAATCAATGAATGCATGCATTGTATAGTAGTGTATGGAAAGCACTAGTTTTATGAGCTCTCAAAACACGCGTTTTTGACTTTACATTAAGATTATGACCTAGATACAAATGTTATGCAAATTTGGTGATATAGAAATAAAATGTCCATTATTGGTGAATATTTTGGTGCACTTTTCATCTTAATATTCAAGTGTTTAATATTTTAATTTTCAATATTAAATCCTTGGTTTGGAAATAAGTACTCTTTATTATGTGGCTATGTGATTTAGCCCCCAAAATTACGCCCCAACTTTTCATATGAAATTTTCATCAAAATTACACAAAATCTGCTCCCAGTTCAGACTCCTTCCAATGCCGTCCGTTTTTAAAGAAAAAGATAAGGATTGTACTTTAACCTGTCGATACTGTTCATTTCAAACATAAGTACGACATATGCAAATCAGGAATAATGGTGGTCCTAAAGTTTGACATATGTCAATTTTAATGTTATATAATGTTATTTCATATAATTATAGTAAGAAATTTATTATAAAAACATTAAATATTTTAATTTCATTTTAAATTTAATTAATTAAGTTTACTACTTAGTTAATTTAGTTCACTTAGTTCACTATTTAATTAATTCAAACTTTATTTAATGTCATTACATATTCCTTATATGTCAGTTTAGGTTAATAGGCACGTCTAAAGGTTTAGTTGAAATGGACAGTATCGACAGGTTAAAGTACAATCCTTATCTTTTTTATCAAAAAGCGGACGGCATTGGAAGGAGTCTGTCCCAGTTGTCACAGTATATTCTGCCCCCAGTTTTGAACAATTTATCGAGCAGAATATGCTGTCAAACTGGGGGCAGATTTTGTGTAATTTTGATGAAAATTCCATATGAAAAATTGTTGCGTAATTTTGGGGGCTATTATGTTAAACATAATACAATATATTTATGTTATTATCATATGTTAATCATTATTGCTACTGGAATTAAGTATTATTGGAAAATATTTTTACAAATATTAATATAATCTAGTTTATAGGCTTCCAAAAGTGAGTAGCATGAGCAATTAGTTATGTTATAAGTATTAGAAAATATAACAATTTATAACCCTTTAAACACACTGATCTAGTTACTTACCACATATTTTAGCCACATATTAACTTGTTAGCCTAAGGTTTGTAAATTTAAAATTGTACAATTTGTTTTTGCGAATAAATTTAATAGTGTTGTGGTCGAGAAATGGAGGGCTGGTATGCCAGGAAGACCGAGTAAACGCGAAACCTATGACAACACCGTAACTTCATTAGTAAAGCGATACGAGAGGTTCACGAGACTCACGAATGTAATGGTTTCCCGGGATTTGGATGAATACGTGTCGGACGTACGTACGCCTAACAAATTGCAACTATGGTAGGTGATAATGGCCAGGGTGTCCATGATATTAACTGCGTTGAGATTCATACTGGAAGTGTATATTACGGACCCCTATATTCTGGACTTATTACTCGATTGGAGTCACATTAAGAATAAGAAATTAATTTATATGTCATGTGCGTCGATATGTATAAACCTATTTGTCGTGGCCATTATATTTACCCGACAAGAATTGACAAAGGTACTCTACGTATTTGAATTTCTTGCTCAATTGAAAAATCATACAATTAAGCGTCCATTAACTGGCCATGCTTACTATAAATTTGTCAATTATTTCATAATGTTCAGTAAGTATGGTTTTACAATCATAAATTGTTGCATTTTGGTAGCATCGGTAGGTGTAGTATTTGCGAATGATTGTACGGCATTTATGAATAACATTTCTTTTGCGAAAGTAATCATGATCATTGTTTTCACCATTAATATACTCGTGACGGAAACAACGAATATAGCAACAGTATCGCTCGGATTCCTCATATGGTTTATGACATGTTTTTATTTAAAACATAAATTCCTTGAGATCTGCCGTAAGATAGCATTGAGTGTTAAATACAATAACAAACGGCTATTAATGGCGGCTATCGTTGAACACCATTATTGGGAAATAAAGACCAAACGATTTAATCATTTTTTCCGTAACTTAACATTCATTTTGTATTTTACGGGGACTATTGCTATGGAGTTTATATTATACATAACATATCACCCTGATACTAATGTCTCATTTAGAATACTCGGGGTTATTCTCATATGTTTTGCCGTATCTATTCTGGTTTACATGAATGTCATGAGCACCTGGATCTATATGGCTGCCCGTAAGCCATACCCGTTGTTATTGAGATACGTGTCGACACGTAGACCCGTCCTAACTAATAGCGATAGATTGAAAGTCATGGCATTCATTGAACGCCTGTCCACTGGACCGGCAATCGGCTACTATTGCTATGATTTGTTTTCTATGAATAGGAAAGAGTTTGTCCAATATTTGATCATTTCTGGCGCTAATTATTTGTTACTTATTTCAAAGTTTTAAAAATGTATCATGGCTATTTTGGAAATGAAATGATTAACTAATAACAATTAAACCTTGAATTGTAATTTTAAAATGAATTAATAAACCATTTTTATAACGTTAATATTATAATTATTTAATGCAGGTAATGATTATAGTAATCTTTTTAAATTGTTAATTAATAAATGTTAAATATTTTTATAATATTACATTTAAACACAGTTTAAATTTTCAATATAATACATATAATTTCAACACAGTTTTGTTGACCACACTTTAAACATGTTTATACTATATAGAGAGGTTGGCCTCCGATCAGTCGGTGGACATCCGAGTGGTCGGGCATGTGATCACACACTCCACCACTTTTCTCATCCAAATTCACGGTATTCACTATTTATTGGTTTACAATAAAAATGTAAAACTGTAAACACTATAGATATTTATTAATATGATATTATAATTATTATAACATACTATATTTATTAATATAACAATTTTTTATGTGCAGGAACCTTTATGATTGTCGCCTGGCTAGAATGTGTGAGCGTAGCTATATTCATGGCCCGGTATTTCAAGCACCTGTGGCTCGAGGAAACACTATTTGGAGTTCAGATATGGTTTGCGGTCTGTATTATCTTTTAATAAAATTTTTTTTAAAAACTATTAATTTATATAAAATTATAAAATTAAAAATAAATAATTATTTTGTTAATAATAGACTCATCGATCACTAATGCTATTATCAATGATTATGATATTGATAGCATCCATAAGTATCTGGATATATGTGGGCACATTTATAGCGGTATGTACATTTTAATATAAACAATATTATAACCGTAATTAATATCTATAATATAAGTTTTATTTAGTTTTACATAATTATAGTTTTTTAATGGGATGAAAGAAGTATTGATAAATGTTTAAATATTTTACAAAACACTTAAAAAAACTTAAAATTGATTTTTGTTTGACATATTAGGGTCCGCACCAGTTGTTTGGTTTGGCAGCCATTATAATATCGGTGGTGAACCCGATTGGGGCCGCAATGAGACCCAAACCCTTGTCGTCCAAGCGATGGATATTTAATTGGTTTCANCAATGAGACCCAAACCCTTGTCGTCCAAGCGATGGATATTTAATTGGTTTCACTTTGTGTTGGGAAATGCGGGCCATATCTGTGCGATAACCGCACTCTTCCTCGCGTACAACCTCTCTGTCAACCAATTGTCGCAAATCTATTTGTGGATACTTATCATGTATGTCATCACCATTACCTAGTACCAATTTATAATCTATGTTAATCTAGTCTAATAATTGTTATTTGTTTCCAAACAGATATTTATTATTTCACATAACGTCTCACCTATTAATGCAAATCTATTCGTGTGATTGCACTCGTAGTTCAAGTAAATATTGTTTTTAATTTTCTATAATTTTTATTATAATTCAACTAGCATACTATAAGTTTAATGGGAATGTCTAATAAACATTCAATTTGATATGAACTAGTCAAAATAAAGAAAAAATTGCGACTTTGATAATAGCCAACATAGTTATTATGAATTTAAACTGATAATGATTCACTGTTTCGCTATAAAAATTTGTTATAAATTATAATTAAATATTTATATTTTTATGAATTATTATTTAAAATTGAAAGTCGCAGATTAAACATACCACATTATAATTATTTTATTTAACTGTGAATGCTTTATTTTATAAGTGAAAAGTCTTACAGTTTGTGATAATTTCTATCATAATTTCTAAATTTATTTTAATAATAATTTTTTTAAAAATTGAATTTCACTAATAATCTGACGATAATTACAGAGACGAGTGATATAGCGATGCAATCGATGCCTGAATACAAGACAAGGAATTCAATGGAAAATATGACCAAAAACTCATTCATTCAGTTCTATCTCTTTCTATACATATGTGTCGTCAGTATTCTG